CCGCGTTGTTCATGGTCAACTTGTGGTTAGGAATGCATGCATGCAGAAGACAAACTTAATATAAAGATTTTTTACCACATGGGTGGTTGGCACCCCAAGCCCTGGCACTGTTCAAGGGTCTACTGTATATAATGTAATACCTACAGCAACGACAAATAAGCTATACAAAGACATACATTCAAATATATTATAGATAAATCAAATTAGAATTCTAAAAAATGTTCAAGTAACATACAAGAAGGCAAAAATGAGAAACAAAAATACAGAACAAATAAAATATAGATTTAGGGCCAGCCGGGTGGCTCAGTTGGTTAAGAGCACAAGCTCTGAGCAACAGGGTCACCAATTCGATTCCCACATGGGCCAGTGAGCTGCACCTGAACTGAGCTGCCAACAGGTGGCAGGATGGCTTAGCTGGTGAGAACACATGCTCCTAACAACAAGGAGCTGGTTCGACTCCTGCATGGGATACCAGCAACTTAGCTTGAACACAGCACCTTGAGCTGAGTGGCTGCGAGCTGCTGACGGGCGGCCAGATGGCGACTAGACTTGGAGCTGAGCTAGCTGCGCCCTCCACAACTAAGATTGAAAGACAACAACTTGGCTGTTCCCCTTCCCCAATTCCTCAATAAAAATCTTAAAAAATAGATGAGATAGATAGATAGATAGATAGATTTAAGCACTAACATATCAGTAATTATATTAAATGTAAATGGTCTACATATAGCAATAAAAAGAGGTTAACAGATGGATTAAAGAACATGACCCAACTATATGCTGTCTGTAAGAAACTCTGTAAATATAACAGTATGGGGAAATTTAATTTAGAAGGATGGAAAAAGATATACCATGCAAACATTAACAAAAAGAAAGCAGCAGTAGCAAATTAATATCAAATAAAGTAGACTTCATAAAGTAGACTTCAGAGCAAAGAAAATTACCAGGAATAGAGAGGAATGTTGTATAATAAAAGGGTCATTCCACCAAGACAAAGCAATCCTAAATGTATATGCACCAAATAAAAGAGCTATAAAACAGCAAAGTGAAAGCTGACAGAACTGAATGAGAAACACACAAGTTCACAATATTAGTTGAAGCCTTCACAAATCCTCTCAACAATAGAACTAGACAGAAAAACAGCAAGGTTATAGAAAAATGCAGCATCTAAAACCAACTGGATCTAATCAATATCTACAGAATGATAACAGAAAACACATTCTTTTCAAGTACTCACAGAAAATATTCCAAGATAGATCACATCCTGAGCCATAAAGCAAATTTCAACAAATTTAAAGGAATTTAAATAAGACAAACATGTTTTTTCACTACAATGGAATCAAACTAGAATCAATAACAGAAAGATAACAAAAATTTCCAAACACTTGGAAACCAAAGATACTTACAAATAACTCAAGGTCAAAGAGAAGTCCCAAGGGACATAAAAAGTAATAATAATACAAGGAACGGAATGAAAATGAAAACACAATATAATGAAATTTGTAGGACACAGTAAAAGCACTGCTGAGAGAGAAACTTATAGCCCTACATGCATACATTAGAAAATAGAGAAAAATCTGAAAAAAACCTAAGTTCCCACATCTTAAGAACCTGGAAGAGCACAATAAACCCAAAGCAAGCAGAATAAAGTAAATAATAGTAGAAATCAATAAAATTAGACACAGGGCCAGACGAGTGGCACGTTGGTTAGGACTTGGCTTGGGACACCAGCTCTCAGCAGCAGGACCCCGGTTTGGATCCCACATGAAGGCCAGTGACGCTGTGCCCTCTACAGCTAAGATGGTGAACAACAGCTCGACCTGGAGCTGGGCTGCCACAAGTCGCCAGTGACGGCATAGGCTGCAGCCCCTGCTGCAGTGGGCTGCTGTAAGCTACAGTGTGTGGCTGGCAGCCAGCATGAGCTGCCATGAGCGGTCATCCAAAGGCCAGTGAGCGACTGCCTCACCTGGGAGCTCAATGATGATGCCAACATGGGCCAGTGAAACAACGTCCTCCACAACTAGGCTGAAGAACAAAAGGACAGCAACTTGTCTGTTCCCCTTCCCTGATTCCCCAATGCTGTTCCCCTCCCCCAATTGCCCAATAAAATCTTTTTTAAAAAAGTCTGTGGTACAGGCATAAGGACATATAAACCAGTGGAATAAAACTGAGAGTCCAGAAATACACATCTATGGTCAACTGATTCTCTACAAGGATGCCAAGACCATTCAATGGGAAAATAACAATTTTTTCAACAAATGGTGCTGGGACAACTGGGCATTCACATGTAATAGAATGAATTTGGACCTGTACCTGATCCCACATACAAAAGTTAACCCAGAATAAATCAAAGACCTGCATGGAAGAACTAAAACTATAAAACTCTTAGAAGAAAACATAGGCATAAATCTTCATGGCCTTTGGCTAGGCAATGGTTTCTTAGATATGACACCAAAAGCAACAACAACAACAACAAAAAAGACTGAATTACATCAAAATTAAAAGCTTTCCCTCTGCAAAATACCCTGTGAAGAGGATAAAAAGACAAAGCTACAAAAGCTACAGGTTGGGAGAAAATATCTGGCAACTTATGTATCCAACAAAGGACTAGTATCTAGAATATAAAGAACTTTCAAAATTCAACAGTAAAAAAACAGCACAATCAGAAAATGGGTAGAAGGCATGAAGAGGTATTTCACCAAAGAGGATATACAAATGCCAAATAAACACATGAAGACAAGTTCAACTTAAGGAAATGCAAATTAAAACCAGAATGAGATATTACTGCCAACCTATCAAATGGCTAACATAAAAAAGTGACACCACCAAATTCTGGCAAGAATGCAGAAAGAGTGGATTAGTCATATACTGCAGATTAGAACCTAAAATAGGACAGCCACTATGGAAAACATTTGACCGTTTCTTTAAAAACTAAGTATACAACTACCATGCAATCTAGCAATTATACTCCTGGGCATTTATTCCAGAAAAATGAATATTTAAGTTTACACTAAAACTGGTAAATGAATGCTTACAGCAGCTTTAATCATAATAGACAAAACTGGAAACAATCCATCTGTCTTTCAAAAGTGTGAATGGCTAAGCAAGCTATGGTATATCCTTATCCATATAGAATTCAGCAATAAAAAAAAGAAAATACTGCTACATGAAACAATCTGGATTAATCTCCAGAGAAGTACACTGAGTGAGAAAAGTCAATCCCAAAAGTTTACATAATGTATGATTCCATTTATAACTTTCTTGAAATGACAAAATTATAGAAATGGAGGATGGTTGCGAGGAATTAAGGAAAGGTAAGGGCAAAATGAAAGTGGGTTTGGCTACAATGGGGCAATACTCGTATGAGGGATCTTTATGGTGAGGGAAATGTACTGTATCTGAACTGCATCGATGTCAATATCCTGATTGTGATATTGTATTATAGTTTTGCAAGATGTTACCACTGGGGAAACTATGCAAAAATGCTCCAGGTATCTTTGCATTATTTTTTTTTTAGCTGAGCCATCTTTGCATCATTTCTTAAAACTGCATGTGATACAATTATCTCAAAATAGTTTCATTTTTTAAAAATTGCCTCTCTCTCTCTCTCTCTCTCTCACACACACACACACACACACACACACACACACACACACGGTAACCTACATAAGAATTTAACTTTAAAATTTGATAGACTATAATATCACACTGGAAATCTTTCTAGTTACTAGGAAATACCATTTTCATTTTGGAAGAAAAAAAATCCAACATATAATAATTCAGTTGCACTTTATCTGAACCCAAAATAATACAATCTGTTAAACATAAAGTTCCTAAGGTTATAATTTTAGCAGTTACAGGCATACCAGCAGCATTTATTAAAAGATATGACTCAGTTGTCACAGTGAGAATAACTGAATCAATATTTTGTACAACCAATTCTATCTAAAAATGGAGATAACTCCATGCCTTATAAGGAAAATAATAAAATATGCTGGAAAGTACTAGGTAAGATTTTATGTGAAGTGCTTTGAGGGGCTAAATAGAAAAGGAACATAAGCTGCGGATGATAGGGGGAAAAAATATTATGTTTATTCTCCTATAAAGGACCCATTTATCATAACTATAGTTCTTTTTCTTATGCTAAAATACACCTAAAAGTTTCGAGGCTTGCATCAATTTATGTGGAACTTGTGTATGTGCTAAATAAAATACAGAGTCATTCATTTTTACTAATATATTAACAATATTAATAATTGCTGAACACTGGATATCAAAATATTAAGATTAGAAAATCAGTAATTAGAACCTACTGTCTTTGTCTGCTGATTCACTTTTTTATCTTCTAGATCCTTGAATTTTGATCGAAAAGAGACCATTTTCTCTTGAAGTTCAGGTGTGCATAGTTCATACACATCCAACATAAGAGGAAATTTAACATCCTACATACAAACCAGAAAGAAAAAAAAATGTGTAAAGAGACTTATAAAGGTAGTTATTTAAAATACCTATCATACTTTCAAAGTAGCGCTTTCATAATTCAAATAAAGTTGAAAACAAAATGCATAAAAATCCCTTGGAAATCTACGCAGTTAAAAACATCATAGTGCTTATCCTCAATCTGGTCCTAACTTTAAGGTAAAAAATTTTTTAACATTTTTTTCCATTAAACATTTTAAGCCATGTAACTGACCACAGAGTTGTTACCAAAATTTATATGACAAAAGCAGCATTTCAGAAATATCAGACCAGTTGCTGTAAAAATAATGGATATCTAAAACCAGCAGTGGAGTCCATTTACAAATGGGGTCACATACGACTTTTTGAAATTTGAAATACAATTTTATATAGAAACAACAGTGATATAGTTCAATAACAGATACACTAGTAGATACTTCAACTACAGTTAGCCTTCTCATTTAACACTAGTATTATGAATTTCAGCTTAATAGACTAGAATTATATATACAGTACTTCCTTCAAGATCAGAGACTGGATATGTAGCAGAGCTCCAGTTCAACAACAGCTACTTCTTGGGCACAATAATTTAACACTCTCCTTTCACTTGGAAAAAAGGAACCGCCTAGAACAGACTACAGTGTGCTCTACTGTCCCCTCCCCACCTCTAACCCCAAACCTACTAGATCAGTATCTCTGGAGCTGAGAGTCTGGTCTAGGGCAGTGTTTCTGGATAATTCCATCAGAATTATCTGGAAATCTTTTGAAAAATGTTGACTACTTTACCAGATGCTGGGGGTTGGGGAGAAGCCAGGGATGTGTATGATTCAAAATAAAAAGGACAACAGACAAGTCTAATGCACATCTTGGTTAAGAACCATATCTCTAATGTTAATAAATTCCCTATTTATGGGGCCGGCCAAGTGTCAGTTGGTTAAGAGCACAAACTCTGAGCAACAGGGTCGCCGGTTTGATTCCCACATGGGCCAGTGAGCTGCGCCCAGCTAGCTGCTGCTGAGCTGCCAACAGGTGGCAGGATGGCTCAGCTGGTGAGAGCACGTGCTCCTAACAAGGTTGCTGGTTCAACCCCCACATTGGACTGTGTGCTACGCTCACCCACAACTAAGACTGAACATGGTACCTTGAGCTGAGCTGCCCTGAGCTGCTAACAGGCGGCTAGATGGCTCAGTGGTTACAGAGTGCACTCTTAGCAACAAGGCTTCCGGTTTGACTACCGCATGGTATGGTGGGCTACGCCCAACCACAACTAAGATTGAACCACCTTTAGCTGAGCGGCTGCGAGCTGCCAAGGGGCAGCCAGATGGTGACTGGACTTGGAGCTGAGCTAGCTGCGCCCTCCACAACTATGATTGAAGGACAACAACTTGGCTGTTCTCCTTCCCCAATTCCCCAATAAAATCTTAAAATAAAAATTTTAATTCCCTATTTATAGTATTTCAAAGAAAGGCTATCCCCAAAGAAATAAAGAAACCTACTGTAAGTTAGGGATTGCCTTCCAAGAATAATTAATCTTTTTATTATACTAAAGAGTTCATTACTAACCTTAAGAACTTTAGCATTCACAGATTCCTTCTCTTTATAAAAAAACCGAACCATCTGAATAGTCAAGTAAGCAGGGAGCCGGCTGATCTTGGACTGAGGAGAAAATGGAAAGAAATTCTATTTACATGCAAATACCACACAAGTTTTTAATTCCTTGGTTTGGTAAAAACAAAAACTGGGCAACATTAACTAACTAGAAAACTTTTAATGAAATGGAATTCAATTTCAAAAGGAATGCACAACTTACAGATTTGATGTACAAAGCATTTCTTTGCAATGTTGGAGACTGTTTGGTGATTTCTTCCTGAAGTCGCTAAAAAAAAAGTAACAGAAAACCAAACATTAGTTTTAAAGAATTTTTTTCTGCAATAATCACACTTGTTTCTTTTAAAAGTTAGTACTACTTAATAGACAATGTACATCAACGGACTTATACCAATGAGAAATAATATGAATGAGGACAATGTGGGAAGACTTTTAGATATGGTTCAGTTCTTAAAAGCCATCAAAAAATTTATACTGGTGTGAACTCATTGGCATGTAAATGTTTTAAGTTTTTTAATTATGACCCAAATGTTACTCAGATTCTGAGAGTTTATACTGCATTTTATATAACATAAGAAAACCTTTTATGGCATCCCTCTACTTATGGTTTATTAGAATATTTACATTAGAGGGAAATTAAGAGAATGTAGGAAGCCCGTGTTCTATGCTTTATGTATAAAAGCCTTCCAAAACCAATTAATTATTAAATTTCATAAGTCATAACAAAGAAAACATGTTACTCTAATGAATGAATGAAAAAGCCTTTGGCCGTTTTACGTATCTTAATGATCATGTCTGCCTTTCTATTCCTTATCAGGCTGTGGGACACTGGGCAAGCTAGTTTATCCCTTCTGGACATCATTTGTAAATGGTGACAAAAGTACCTATATTAATTATAGTTCTGTTGTTAGAATTACATAATTAGTACATGTAGAAAACTTGGAAAACTAGCATATATTCTATGTTTGATAAACATTACCTATTTCTAATATCAATAAAATAGCACTACTAATGTGCTCTGCTTTGAGAACACAAACATACAGATTTAAAACAATTTACTGTTCATGTTTACTCTAAGCATGTTATAATTGTATAAAAAACTTGTTAGTTTGATTTTTAAAATTTATTAATCACATTACAAAAAGAATCACTGTGAAGTAGCCTTTTTAACATTTAGTCAAGTTTACTCAGCAACAATGAAGTAAAGAAATGTGAAACCAATTACTCAAGAATAATCTGAAAAAAATGACGATAAAACATCTAAAAAATTACCAAGACAATAAATACAAAATCTCACGAATATATGTTTTTTAAAAAAGAGTATCTCATACAATGTTATTCATCAGGTAAGCTATACCTATTATTACCAAGCCACTATTAGCTAGAAGTTCCAAGTATATTTGGTTTTCCTGGAATTTTATTTTATTTATTTTTCTAAGTTGAGCCATCCTGAGTTTTCCTGGAATTTTATAAAATTGTGATGAAACGGGGGCCGGCCAAGTGGCGCAATGGTTAAGAACTGGCTTGGGACGCCAGAGGGCCCTGGTTCGGATCCCACATGTGAGGGCCAGTGACACTGCCCTCCACAGCTAAAATGCTGAACAACAGCTCAACCTGGAACTGGGCTGCCTTGAGTTGCCGGCGACGGTGTAGGCTGCAGTCCCTGTGGCAGTGGGTTGCCATGGGCTACCATGTGTAGCCAGCAGCCAGCGTGAGCGGCCAGCAGCCACTAACTTTAAAATTTGATAGACTATAATATCACACTGGAAATCTTTCTAGTTACTAGGAAATACCATTTTCATTTTGGAAGAAAAAAAATCCAACATATAATAATTCAGTTGCACTTTATCTGAACCCAAAATAATACAATCTGTTAAACATAAAGTTCCTAAGGTTATAATTTTAGCAGTTACAGGCATACCAGCAGCATTTATTAAAAGATATGACTCAGTTGTCACAGTGAGAATAACTGAATCAATATTTTGTACAACCAATTCTATCTAAAAATGGAGATAACTCCATGCCTTATAAGGAAAATAATAAAATATGCTGGAAAGTACTAGGTAAGATTTTATGTGAAGTGCTTTGAGGGGCTAAATAGAAAAGGAACATAAGCTGCGGATGATAGGGGAAAAAAATATTATGTTTATTCTCCTATAAAGGACCCATTTATCATAACTATAGTTCTTTTTCTTATGCTAAAATACACCTAAAAGTTTCGAGGCTTGCATCAATTTATGTGGAACTTGTGTATGTGCTAAATAAAATACAGAGTCATTCATTTTTACTAATATATTAACAATATTAATAATTGCTGAACACTGGATATCAAAATATTAAGATTAGAAAATCAGTAATTAGAACCTACTGTCTTTGTCTGCTGATTCACTTTTTTATCTTCTAGATCCTTGAATTTTGATCGAAAAGAGACCATTTTCTCTTGAAGTTCAGGTGTGCATAGTTCATACACATCCAACATAAGAGGAAATTTAACATCCTACATACAAACCAGAAAGAAAAAAAAATGTGTAAAGAGACTTATAAAGGTAGTTATTTAAAATACCTATCATACTTTCAAAGTAGCGCTTTCATAATTCAAATAAAGTTGAAAACAAAATGCATAAAAATCCCTTGGAAATCTACGCAGNAAAAAACACACACACATCAGTGAAATTGAAAACAGAATAACAGTAGATAAAATCAATGAAAGTTAAAAAAAAATAATAATTGTGATGAAACGATCATCCTGGAGAGTCCCTGCCAACACATTCCATTCCATTCCATACTCTCCAATTAACACTTATACTTCATGTTTTGATGCCCTGAAACTTGCACGTCATAATACGTTTATGTCCTAGGGCTCCTGGTGGTTAGCTAGTATTTGTAATGCTTTTAAAATGAACTTCTCTCACCACACCTCTCCTCTCAGTGTCACACAGCGAAGAATATCACTATGTATCTATCTGCTTCTTACATCTATTTACTCACCCTTTCCCTAACCCATCTTATCCCAAATTTACATCGTTTATCAATGTAATCCCTTCTCTAATTCATCACCTATCCTTCAAAAGCTCTGCATATTCCACAAACCATATCAAATTAATGTTAGCAAGCAAAACCATTCTATTTTATCAATCTGCTCATTAGAATACAATCTTTAGTATGGCATCGGGGAAAGAATGATAACTAAATAATTAGAGAAGCAAGTTCTAGAGCTGGCTCTGCCACACATCAATTAAGTCATTTAAATTAAACTCTAGGACCTCAACTGCAATATTAGTAAAATAGTAGAATGACTATATGGCCTGATTTGCACAGTACAACCCGTTTATACTGCATAATTATTAATATACCCGCATCATAATACCCTGAGGCTTTCTGCAACCCTCTAGTCACATGTTACTCAACCAATCAATACAATCTATATAATGGCACCTTACTTAATATATACTGTTGATTCATTAACATGGAACTCACATGCAACTACACTAAAACTCATCCCTGACGAAGCTTAGCTAAGAAAATTTATTTTCTTTTTATTTCTCTCACAGCCCTCTTGCACTTAGAACACTAGGCAGCACTTCAGCACTATGCCTGCAAGCCATTTTAAACAGCAAAATCATCAAAAAGCAGAAAAATGTGGCACTAAAATGACTGCAAAAAGGACACTTGTTTACAGTATGACAGCTGAAACAAGAAGTCAGAGCATCACCTTTCTGGACCTCAGGTGGGAAAGTATGTGTCAGGCAATTAAAACTTTTTGCCACTCTGAGCATGTCTTCACATGATCATGAAAACACCATAATTATTGATGGTGGGGTTACAAATAAATTTTAGCAAGTAGGTGCAAATATGGAATCCGTGAATAATGAAGATCAACTCTAATTGTCCTTACCAATTTAAGTCCTGTAAAAAGATACTTGACTTCTTGATTGATAAAACAGCTAAGCTGAAGCTGATTTTCCTTTCCTTTAGTGACTTCTTCTTCTTCAGATTCTGTACATTTCATTCTTTGCAAAATAAGATAAGGAATATACTCACAGGCATTCAATTTATCATATAATCTTGAATATAATAAGTTATCCTAATGCTATTAAAGTTAATAGCATCATTCATTAGTATTTAAAATATTGTGGTCTCCCAACAGAGAATTATTTCAACATACTTAAAAATGTTCATTCACTTACCAACAATACTAAGTAATGAATCTATGTTAAAAGAATGAACTCTAGGGGCCGGCCAAGTGACGCATTGGTTAAGAGCTGGCTTGGGACACCAGCTCTGTGCAGCAGGGCCCCGGTTCGGATCCCACATGAGGGCCAGTGACACTGCCCTCTACAGCTACAGCTAAGATGGTGAACAACAGCTTAACCCGGAGCTGGGATGCCATGAGTCACCAGCGACGGCATAGGCTGCAGCCCCTGCTGCAGTGGGCTGCCATAAACTACAGTGTGTGGCCGGCAGCCAGCGTGAGCGGCCAGCAGCTGGTGTGAGCTGCCAAGAGCCGCTGTGAACAGCCGTCCAGAGGCCCGCGACCGATCTGCCTCACCCGGGAAGAGCACAATGATAATACCAACATGGGCCAGTGAGGCGACGTCCTCCACAACTAGATTGACGAACCAAAGAACAGCAACTTGTCTGCTCCCCATCCCCGATTCCCCAACACTCTTCCCCTCCCCCAATTCCCCAATAAAATCTTTGGGGGGGGGTAGGAATGAACTCTAGGGCTGGCCCATTGGCTCAGTTGGTTAAGACAGCGAGCTCTGAGCAACAGGCTGCTGGTTTGATTCCCACATGGGCCAGTGAGCTGCGCCCAAGCTGAGCTGCTAACAGGTGGCAGGATGGCTCAGCTGGTGAGAGCCCGTGCTCCTAACAACAAAGGATGCTGATTCGACTCCTGCATGGGATGGTGGGCTGCCCACCCACAACTAAGATTGAGCACAGAACCTTGAGCTGAGCGGCTGCAAGCTGCCGATAGGATGGCGACTAGACTTGGAGCTGAGCTGGCTGCGTGCCCCCACAACTAAGATTGAAGGACAACAACTTGGCTGTTCCCCTCCCCTAATTCCCCAATAAAACCTTTAAAAAAAAAAGGAATGAACTCTAAACAAATATAAGTTGCTATTTATATGATCTTAAAAACCAAAAGATAAACAGAAATCTTTTCTAAGTTTCTGCCCATCACCTTCAAAATAGAGCTTCCCTAAATTCTAGTTTTATGAGTTGGTTCAATCTCATGTATATAATTCATACACTCTATTTCATACAATTAAAAATTAATTCTCTATGAGGCAAATTAATGAGGTAGACTCTGCTAAAGATGTTCTTAGGAAAAAATCATGAATATCCTTAAGTGTACATTTATCTAAACTTCAAGATCATTCCAATGGGCTTATTTTTCCAAATTCCCAATTTCCATATTTTTTAGACATCATAACCTCTGAAGAATACTTTTTCATACCCTACCCACCACTCCAATCAGTCATATACCAGTATATATACCAATTCACTGCTAGTGTAAGTTGAGTAGTTTATACATATCTTGGCTCACAAGGATACGTAGTTTCAAACTCAACCCCGAAGAACTGATCAATTAAGCTTTTCTTTTTAGGAGGTGTCACAGCTGATGCAGATGAAGAATCTGTCTGCAAAAATTAAAATAAAATAAAAATTCCAATTTCACTGTAAAGATATTAATGTACATTTCCTCCACACAATCCAGTTTAGCAATACATATTTAAGCTTTTCAAAATGCAATCCCTTTCCGTAAAATCCTTCTACTGTTCAAAAAACATTACCAAAAGACTAGAGGGCCAGCTGAGTGGCTCAGTTGGTTAAGAGCTTGCAAAAGAGCAACAGGTTTGCTGGTTCGATTCCCGGCCCGAACTGAGCTGCCGTTGAGCTGCCAATAGATGGCAGGATGGCTCAGCTTAAAAAAAAAAAAAAAAAGACTACAGATGTTCAATAATATTAAGTTTAATAAAAATAAACTGAATTCAAGTGTGAAATGCAATCTTTCAAATTCCAAATACAAATTGAGCATCTAAATAGTATTCAAGAATACATGTCTGTCTATTAAGATGAATTTATTTCAAGTCTTTGGGGTGGGGGTGAATCAAGGTATAATGAAATTCTACAATCACAAATATATTTCAATTACCTCTTTAACAGAATCATCCTCTATGGCTTCTAATTTCTGTTGCAATACTCGCATCATCTGTATCCAACATTCATTAGCATCCTAAATTTAAAAAATGACACAGTAAGTAAACCTGGCTGTGACAGTGTTTGGTCTATAGAAGTCTTCCAAAATAACTAGTTTCTTTAGAGAAGGGAAAGCTGTTAAAATATTAAGATACATTAGGTATCTTCAAAACAATGAAAAATTCCAAAATAGTCTGTTCATTCATTCAAAAGATGTTTCTGAACTCCTAATTATGCTAAATATTTACTATTCTGGACACTAGGAATACATAACAATAAACAAAATAGAAAAAGTCCTAATGGGAAACATAGATAAAATATAACATAAAGGATTATTAAAAAAAAAAAAAAAAAGGCAATATGGGAGCAGAAAGTGATCAGGGGAAGGAAATGTGTTACCTTAACAGGATAGTCAAGGAAAGCCTTGACTATNTAAAGACCATTTAATTGAACACTTTAAAAGAATGAATTGAACAATAAATGAATTATATCTTAATAAAGCTGCTAAAAATATATGTATACAAAACAACACTACTCACCAAATGTGAAACTCCCTTACCCAAAGAAGACTTAAAACATTTCTCTTCTGTCTTACCTTTTAAGGGCATCTTTGAGTTCAGGCACAGACCGAATACACTGAACTGTAGCATTCATGTAACAGGTATTACCAAGGTTTGTCAATCCACATGGTAATTCCATCTGATAAAAAAAAAGGATTAAATCATTTTTACAAAATGACATAGCATATATAAATCACTAAATTTCACCCTTTGAAGCAAGTACAATTTACCAGCTCATACCAATTTATATTCCACCTTACCCTAAAGTAACATATTTTATTTCCCCAACAAAAAGTTGTTTTACTTGTATCATAATGACAATCATTCTATGTTTTAATTCCCTTCTTGAAAATAATTAGAGAACAGTCATATCCGTCCTGCTCCCTTTCAAGGCTTATCATTAGAACATGGTAACAAACATACATAGAAACTCTTAAAAAAAAAAAGGAATGGTACTATATAAATGCTGGATGGTAAAAATAATATAGTAATAACATTTGACAAGTATGTGTTGGCCAGTTTCTAAACCAACGCTGCATTTAAATTAAGCATAAACTGTATGTATTTTTAACATGGAAGGTTTTAAGAATTTAAATATCCCAGCATCTAAGCTACTTAACCATTCTGAACCTGTTTTCTGATAAAAAATAAACACTTAAATAGTGCTGAGTACCCACCACATATTTATTAGTCATTAATTGACTTTATAATAAATAATCCAATTATAGAAGGACCCTTAAGCCAATTTCAAAAATGAAATTTATTTACTGCTTAAAACATCTTGATATTAACTATTAAACCTTCAAAACATTCAGATGCTACTTTCTGAAAGGCACCTTAGTAACTACTTCTATTAATAAAAAGTAGTTATCAAACACATAAAATATGGTTTGTCTTACAGCAGACGCTAACTGTTCTTCTGTCATATCTTCTACGAAGACAGTTTTGGCTGAGGGTTCCTCAGGAAGAGCATCCGCTGATCCCATCATTAGTAGAGTCATTCCCTGTTTTAAAAAAAATTAATTTCATAAAAATGCTCAAAAGTGGATCAAGTTTACGTACAATGAAAGATGCCAGACATAGAAAAACACATATTGCATGCCTTCTAATTGCCAGGAAAGGTAAATCTATAGATTCGTGGTTGCTAGAGCTGAAGGTGAGAAGAGGGAGTGATTTTAAAAGTGACACACATTTCTTTCAGGGTGATTGAAATGTTCTAAAATTAGATTGTGGTGAAGGTTTCACAACTCTGTAAATACACTAAAAATCATTGAATTCTTAAAAAAAAAAAAATGTACTAAAATGGCTGCTTCAGGCCAGAGTTCACCTGCTTATCTGCAAAGGAGCAGGAGTAAACTTTTTTTGAGTGTTGGAACTTCTGTTTCTAATTGCACTGGTGGATACATGGCTGTACAAAATTAACCTAATTCATCAAACTGTATACTAAAATTGGTGAATTTTATTCTATATAAATTATATATCAATAAAGCTAAGGGAAAAAATTAATATTGCCATTAAAAAAGTTGAGAATGTTTACAATATTAGAGGGGAAGGAATTCTTCAAATGATCATTATTAACATTGAGTTGGTATAATTTCTTCCCACAACAAACAAAGCACTGATAAGATTCTTTCTGTGAATGTCTATTATGTAACTGTAACCATTATTTACATGTGAATAGAAATATTTCATGAGCACTGCAATCTCCATTATTGGAAAATATCAAACCGAACACATCAATAAGTTCAAAATATCCAATTTTATAATTCTACACATCATTAACCTAAGGGAATACTTATATTCAATATATATGTAACATTCCAGACAATAGAAGAACAAGGAAGACACTATCACCCTAAATGTCATAAAAAAAAGAAATGTGAACATCTTACTTAGTATCTTAACTGGAAGACATGAACACATGAAACACAGAAAAGTGTAAGGAAGTTTAAAAAATAAAAATAGGGCCGGCCAAGTGGCGCGATGGTTAAGAACTGGCTTGGGACACCAGAGGGCCCCGGTTCAGATCCCACATATGAGGGCCAGTGACACTGCGCCCTCTACAGCTAAGATGCTGAACAACAGCTCAACCTGGAGCTGGGCTGCCATGAGTCGCCGGCGACGGTGTAGGCTGCAGTCCCTGTGGCAGTGGNAAAAAAAAAAAAGGCAATATGGGAGCAGAAAGTGATCAGGGGAAGGAAATGTGTTACCTTAACAGGATAGTCAAGGAAAGCCTTGACTATTTGAGCCATGAGACCTGAAGGTGAGGGAGAAAGCCAAGCATTTATCTGAGAGCCAAAGGAACAAGAGCAAAGGCCCTGCAGAAAGAGGATACTTGGAGGGTTTAAAAAACAGCAAGAAGACCATGCATCTGGAGAGAAGTGAGCAAGGTGCAGAGTGGCACATGATGAGTTCAGAGAGGTAGCCCAGGAACTAGATTATTTAGGATTATTTAGAATTTAGGTTATTATTTAGGGATAGAAAATTACTAGGAAGTATTAAACAAGGGACTAACATAATCTTAGAAAGAACTCTGGGGGCTAAATGGGAGAAACACTGTAGAGGGACAAAAGCAGAAGCAAGATAATCAGTTAACAGACTACTGCACCACTCCAGGCAAGAGATAATAGCGATGTGAACTACAGAGGACTGATATTTGTATTTCCAAATATACTCCAGTAAGTATGGTAAGTATAGGAAATCTAAGTTTTACATTTACAAAATGAAAGCCAAGAACCTTGCCCTGATTACCTGTTGAAGATATTGTCCTTGATCACCCTTCTCTGCAAACTGTGGAAAAGCCATGTGCAAAAATTGCAGTAGAATGATAGGTGGAATACTAGAAGAAGTTTTATCCATGGAATCAAACAAATCTCTAAGGGCTTAAAAACAAAGCAAACAGTGTTTTAGTAAAATAAGAGCATATTTAATACATGCTACTATAAATCAAATCTCAATTACTATAAACAAAAAACTGCTTAATAACTATTTCTATCTATTCTCTTTGCAATTGTTGGATTCCTAATAAGAAACAGATTTGTTTTTAAATTTTAAAGAAGTCATCAGAAGGCTTTATAATGCAATCATGAACTATAAACAACTTCTGAGCCCTTTTGCCAGCCTTTGTCTTCCCAAACAAAGCAGGGTATGTTCATTCAATACAGAAAACCACCTTTGTCAAGGATCAAACAGGCATAATGTTACTGCTCTGCCACTATGCTGTTCTCAGGCCATCAGGTCACCAGTTTAGGTCCATACTTGGTTCTCATCTACTGAACTCCTGAATATTGAAATCTGGCTCCTTAAACATATTTCCTTATTCTACTGAACAGCTAAAAACCAAAACTAATTTGACTTCTTCAAAATCTGCTCTTGGGAGTTCAGAATACTTTTTCCTCCACTGATTTCTACCTATCACACCTTGTCCTTATTTCATGTACAGCAAAACGCTAATCTAGCTTATCCGACTTAACTAAGATCTGAAATGTTACCAGTCTATATATCATTGTCTGTATATCATACAAACTGAAACCCAGCAAATACTCCAAGGTCTCAGCACAAAGCAAGTTCTCAATAAAATGTTCCTGAATAAAACTAAACACATTGTTTAAAAAATATTTTTGGAGGGAAGGCTGCAATTTAAGCATTCCTACCAAGCTAATTATTTTTTTAAAATTTTAAAACCTAAATTGTAATAACACTTTAAAGTACATGCTATTCAAAAAAAAGATGATTTAAGATTATTTAACATATACCATGAACAGAGTATCTCAAAGTATTTCATTAGTTTGAAAAAAGGTCAAAAACACACTACACATTTTTAAAAGAGCCTAATGACATGAGACTTGACAACAACTAAATGCAATGTGTGATCCTAAATTGGCTCCTGAAGCAAAAAAGAAAAACAACTTTACAATGGGCAATACTGGCAAATGTAAATAAAGTCTGTATTTTAGAGTACTGTTATCAGTGTGAACCGCCCAAATTTTGAATAATGAGAAGTCTTGTGGTTTATGAATGTCCTTACTCTTAGGAAACACATACTGAAGTTTTCAGGACTAAAAGACATGGTGTCTGCAACTTCCTTTCAAATGGTTCAGAAAAAAACAACATGCATTACAGAGGATGAACCAAATGTTACAAAAAAATTCGTAATTGGTGAATTCTTGCAAATTTTCTGTAAATCTATATTTAATTCAAAATAAAAACGTTTAAAAAGAACAGTATTTTTCATCCCATCAATACTATAAGCCTATGACACCAAAAAAGTTGTTGAAATTCTGGGTTACTCTTAGATACCCAAGCAATCAAATGAACTAGATATAATTGATCACATTTTCTCATTAAAAACTTCATTTTAACAAATAATCTACTTTTAGGAAAAAAGAAGAAAATCTCTCTAACTCCAAATGATGCAAAGAAACTTACTGTTTATAGTATTAAAAGTTAATGGTTGACTACAGTGAGATACCACTTCACACCCCTAAAATACTATAATCAAAGACAAACAATACCAAGTGTTAGTGAGAATATGGAGAGATTGGAACCCTCATACAAGCTGGGAGGAATGTAAAATGATGCAGCTGCTTTAAAAAACAGTCTAGCAGTTTCTCAAAAGGTTAAATATAGTTACCATATAACCCAGCAATTCCACTCCTAGATATTAACCCAAGAGAAATGACAACATATGTCCACACAAAGACTTGTACACAAATAGCAATACTTATAATAGTCAAAAAGTGGAAACCACCCAAATGTCTTTCAATGACAAAAGGATAAACAAAATGTGGTATATCCACATAATGCAATCTTATTCAACAATAGAAAGAAATAAAATACTGATACATGCTATAATGTGAATGAACCTTGAAAGCACTGTAAGTGAAAGAAGTCATTCAAAAAAAGACCACATATTGTATAATTCCATTTATATCAGAAGTCCAGAATAGGCACATCTATAGGGGCTAACAGCTGATTAGTGGTTGCATAGGGCTGGGAGTGGTGAGGGGAAAATGTGATGACTGCTAAAGGTTATAGTTTCTTTTTGGAGTGATGAAAATGTTCTAAAATTGATTGTGGTGAAGGATGCACAACTCTGAATACTAAAAACAACAATGAATTGTACACTTTAAATGGGTGAACTGTATGGTATGTGAATTAAATCTCAATAAAGCTGTTAAAAAAAAAAAAAAAACATGGCTGTAAAAACCTATCAACCTAGCCCAATGATTTAACAGTGCTCGTTTGTAAAACTGTCCCAAAATGAGATAAGGGAACATGGACTCATGTAATGAAGAAATAAGTTATTTCTATCCTTTAAGAATTTCTATTTCTCCTCATTCCCCATATGCCACTTTTTTACACTAATACCCACTGAGACTCTCTTTTATAATGATCACATCAACTATAACAAAACCTACTTTACTACTAGAACCTAAAGCCAAAATTATAATTTAACCCAAAATATGCAAAGACTGTTTTTCAGAAAGGACACACATCACTAGTTTATAATTTGCATAATAAAGTATGCTCCAAGTTGTTTAATATAAGTACTCCTATTTTAATGAGGTAATGTTTTATAAAACATGTTTTGTAAACTGAAAGGTACGAAACAAACTCTGAGTGAAAAATATCATTTATTGAATATTATACTTCCTCTCAAAAAGTAGTATGCTTAAGATACTGACCTGCAGTAATATACTGTGCTGAAGCCATCTCCCCTGAAGCTCTCAAGGCACCAGCATACCTAAGGACAGTAAGGCAGAATTAAATAATAGGATTCAATTCATTCTGAAACTCAAATGGGAATAAAACAGTTAAAAGGACTTATTATGACACCCTCAACTACAAGTTTCTCAGAGTTGTTTGACCTTTCTATTTTCTTCTCTTCTGGTCTTGTTCCTTTAAGCATTATATGGGCAAAAAAGGAGCACTTAGAAAAAAGGAAACTTAAATGAATAAAACCTACTTTAAATTCTTTCATTCTTTCCCCTTGTCTAACTCATCTATACCAAACATTTTCTGATAATAATGTAAAACAAAAAAGTACACATTACTGTCCATTATTACAAAGAAAATAAAATCCAATTTCAGAAACAATGGAAAAAAGGCATTAGAGCTAAAACATTAAATCAAAATCATTACACCTACATTCAGCACTAACATGCTAAATAAAAGAAGCTAGTAACGAAAAACCACATATTGTTATAATTCCATTTATATGAAATGTACAGAATAGGCAAACCTATAAGACCAACAGCAGTTTAATGGTTGCCTAGAACTGCAGGTAGAAAGGGTATAAGGAGTGACTGACAATGAGTATGAAGTTTCTTTTGGGAGAGGGGAATATTATAAAATTAGATGTGGTGATGGTGAACATAATAAAGACCATTTAATTGAACACTTTAAAAGAATGAATTGAACAATAAATGAATTATATCTTAATAAAGCTGCTAAAAATATATGTATACAAAACAACACTACTCACCAAATGTGAAACTCCCTTACCCAAAGAAGACTTAAAACATTTCTCTTCTGTCTTACCTTTTAAGGGCATCTTTGAGTTCAGGCACAGACCGAATACACTGAACTGTAGCATTCATGTAACAGGTATTACCAAGGTTTGTCAATCCACATGGTAATTCCATCTGATAAAAAAAAAGGATTAAATCATTTTTACAAAATGACATAGCATATATAAATCACTAAATTTCACCCTTTGAAGCAAGTACAATTTACCAGCTCATACCAATTTATATTCCACCTTACCCTAAAGTAACATATTTTATTTCCCCAACAAAAAGTTGTTTTACTTGTATCATAATGACAATCATTCTATGTTTTAATTCCCTTCTTGAAAATAATTAGAGAACAGTCATATCCGTCCTGCTCCCTTTCAAGGCTTATCATTAGAACATGGTAACAAACATACATAGAAACTCTTAAAAAAAAAAAGGAATGGTACTATATAAATGCTGGATGGTAAAAATAATATAGTAATAACATTTGACAAGTATGTGTTGGCCAGTTTCTAAACCAACGCTGCATTTAAATTAAGCATAAACTGTATGTATTTTTAACATGGAAGGTTTTAAGAATTTAAATATCCCAGCATCTAAGCTACTTAACCATTCTGAACCTGTTTTCTGATAAAAAATAAACACTTAAATAGTGCTGAGTACCCACCACATATTTATTAGTCATTAATTGACTTTATAATAAATAATCCAATTATAGAAGGACCCTTAAGCCAATTTCAAAAATGAAATTTATTTACTGCTTAAAACATCTTGATATTAACTATTAAACCTTCAAAACATTCAGATGCTACTTTCTGAAAGGCACCTTAGTAACTACTTCTATTAATAAAAAGTAGTTATCAAACACATAAAATATGGTTTGTCTTACAGCAGACGCTAACTGTTCTTCTGTCATATCTTCTACGAAGACAGTTTTGGCTGAGGGTTCCTCAGGAAGAGCATCCGCTGATCCCATCATTAGTAGAGTCATTCCCTGTTTTAAAAAAAATTAATTTCATAAAAATGCTCAAAAGTGGATCAAGTTTACGTACAATGAAAGATGCCAGACATAGAAAAACACATATTGCATGCCTTCTAATTGCCAGGAAAGGTAAATCTATAGATTCGTGGTTGCTAGAGCTGAAGGTGAGAAGAGGGAGTGATTTTAAAAGTGACACACATTTCTTTCAGGGTGATTGAAATGTTCTAAAATTAGATTGTGGTGAAGGTTTCACAACTCTGTAAATACACTAAAAATCATTGAATTCTTAAAAAAAAAAAAA